CCGGGGACCCCGCTCCGCAGTGCGCGCAGCCTCTGGGGCCGGCCCGAGAACCGGAGGTGGCCCTCGGGCTGCAGAGGGCGCCCGCCGGTGGGGACGGTGTGCCCCCATGCCCACCCTGCCCGGGCCCTGGGGGGCGGCCTCAGCACTGCCCTCTCTCCGCAGCCCGCCCCCTCCCACAGGGCCTCCGACAGGCGGGCCGCCAAGAAGTTCAAGTGCGACCAAAGCCACCTCCCCAGACGGGGGTTACCGGAGCTGGTGCCTGAGAGCGCGCTGCCCGAAGTGACCCCAGAAACCCCTTGTAAAAGTGAGCCCCTGGAGCTTGCAGGAGATGGGGCGCTGCCCCCCCAAAATGGAGCCGACCCCTCTGCACAGCAAGAAGCCAGCGGCCTTCCCCTTGGCCACAGCCACGCGGGCAGCGAGGCAGGCGCCGCCCAGACTGAGGACAGCCCGGCCCTGCCCGTGCCCGGCGCTGCCTCGGGAGAGGACGAGAGCTGCTGCCCCGCAGGGGACGAGCCTGTGCCCGAGGCCCCGGCCCGCGTGTCCCCGCTCCAGATGGACGGCAGCGTCTTCCTGGACGACGACAGCAACCAGCCCATGCCCGTGAGCCGCTTCTTTGGGAACGTGGAGCTCATGCAGGTGGGCGCAGCTGTCGGGCCCCCCCACCCCGCTGTGCCTTCCCCGCGGGCCAGCTGCCTGGAGCATGGCTTGTGGGGGGGGGGGGCCCTGCCGTTGTGGGTCACCCCTAGCCGGTGGGCCGGAGGGGGCCCTGCCGGCGGGCGTCTGAGGGCAGCGCTGACGCGCCGTCTGCTCTTGCTCCCGCCTGAGCCCGCTGGGGCCGAGCACGCCCGACTCTGGGGCGGGCGGAGCTGGGAGGCGGCGGGTGCCGGGACGGGGCTGGGCCGGCTGCCAGCAGGCACCTCTCCCCAGGACTGGCCGCCGGCCTCCTCTTCGTGCCCCTCGATGAGCCGGCGCGAGTTCCGGAAAATGCACTTCAGAGCCAAGGACGACGAGGAGGACGAGGACGGGGCCGAGGTGTGAGGCGCCACGGCGGGCGGGCGGCAGGACGGCTCCGCCCCAGACAGCCCACCCCTGCCCGGTCCGACTGGCCGCCGGTGCTGCCGCCCGCCAGAACCAGGAGGCCAGGCCCGGGCCGGGGAGCGGGAGCCCCCGGGCCGCGGACACGGTCGTCTCCGCCACCAGGTGGCCGTCCTCGGGACCGAGTCGGCGCCCGTTCGGGGAGAACTCTGTTTCTGCACGTGAAGCCAGCGTTCACCTTGGAAATTTTGCAAACTACAGCACAGAAAGAAATAAAGTATATTTTAAAGTAGTGTCCGGGAGCTCCCTGTCCCGTCCGCCCCTCCCTTCCTGAAGGGGAGCGCGTCCTGCCCGCTGCGTCGGCCTTGTGGCCTCTCGGCCGCTGGAGACGGGCTGCTGGGCAAGCTGCCCCCCTAGGCACTAGCCCTTCCAGCCCCGCTGTGTGCAGGAGCGCCTGGGGGTGCCCTATGCCTGTGGAGTGGGGTGCTCGCCTCCTGCTCCAGACCACACCTGGCAGCCCGACACCTGTCTGCTGGGTCTTCCCAGAAGCAGGCGCCAGTCTCAGCCCCTCGCAGGGCCGAGACTGCAGGGCCGGACGGGGCAGGGCTGAGTGAGCCCCAGGGACTCCTCGTGCCTGTCCAGCCACCAGGGGCCTGTCTGGAGGGCCAAGTGAGATGCCCCGGCCCAGCGGCGGCGTCTCTGGTCAGGAGCCAGCGTCAGGCACAGGAGGCTGGTCACGCTCAAGGCCAGACCCACAGGGCCGGGCCCAGGCAGGCGGACGGCTGTGCGGAGCTGGAAGCATTGACGACGATGCAGTGAGTTGTCCCCTGGCGTGTCCCGTGAGGCAGGGGCACTTCACAAAGCAGGTTACTTAGGGCACCACACAGTGAGGGGGCCGTGGGAGCCTTCAGGTCTGGACAGTGAGTCCCCGCAGCCGCCCTGCCCACCCTCCTCCTGGGCCCCTTGCGGCCAGGGGCCCTCTGCAGGTGAGGCTGGGGCAACTGCCGTCCTGCATCCAGTGGGGAGGGGCGCCTGGAGCCAGGGGAGCCTTGCAGGGGCGGTGGACATGCCGACTGGCAGGCTGGCCCAGTGCCACTGCAGAGCATCACCCAGAGGGTCTCCGGGGGCCCCAGGCTGGGCTAGCTGGCCCGCCCGTGGGAGCTGTGCCGGCCCACGCCCCCGCAGGTCCCCCACTGCCCAAAGAGGGTTTTTGGCCTCTGGCCTCTTGCAAAAGTGAAGCCAGAAGAAACCGGGTTAGGGTAAAGGGGCAGGAGCCGAGAGCCCTGCAGGCGGGAGGGGCAGTGCCAGAGGCCCACTGGCCACAGAGAGGGAGAGAGGGAGGCCCGGCCGCTCCGGGGATGGACCCACCCTCCAGAGGGCCCGCTGGAGCTCCAGAAAGCTCTCGCCCTCAGACCTCAGACAGAGAGCAGCTCCTGGAGGTGGGGTGGGGAGGGGCGGCACTCCTTGGGCCAGCTGTCTGTCACTGCTCTGTTTGCGTCCCTGTGTGGTCATTCTCATCAGGTACACTCTGCTGAGCGTTTATTTTTGAAAAACCTTCTCTGCTTTTTCATTACAAAATACATGTGAAAATGCAAACGTTACAAAATGTCTCATTTTCAAAAGCGAATTTGGTGTTTCGTTTCAGGAGAGCTGCTCAGAGGGAACTTTTGGAGTAGATAACACGCTCCTTCTTCCGAAACTTCAAGTATCACCAGGCGTGGCTCGATGAGCATCAGAGGGCCACGGACCCACCCGCTCCCCACAGCCAAGCTCTGCCCGCCGTGCAGAGGGCGCCCCTGCCCACCGCCCCCCGCCCCCCAGTCCCGGGCGACATCGGGCCAGGTGTGGGCCCCAACAGCGAGACAGAGCCCAACACCCACAAGCTCCACACCCCCCCCCCACTGGTATCTGCGGGTCGCCGTGGACGATCATGGGCAGCATGGTACTGGCTATCTGAGCATTCTGGGGTGCAAATAACCCCAAAGAGACACAGGCTGAACACAGGCCAGCAGAGGTGCGGCGGAGGCCCCCGCGGGCTCACAGGGCAGCTGGGATACTGGGCTCGGCGCCACCCGGCCCGGAAGGCAGGGGTGCTCTGCTGGGAGGGGCCCACTCCGGACAGCAGCCCCAGGGCGCGAAGCAGGTTCAGAAATGGCCTGAAGCCACTTGGCAGGAAGACGGTGTGTTCTGGAAGCTGCCAGTGGGACCTCGATGCAGTCCCAGCTGGTCCCCACGCGTGGTCAGCGGTGCTGGAGGGCAGGCCGCTTCCTCCTGAGTGCCCTAAGGGGCCTGTAGATCCTGTCGGGGTCACAGCTGAGTTTGTGGGTGGTCTTCTTGTGGCAGGCGATGTGAACCAGCTTCAGGTTCTCCATGGTGAAGAGCAGGCTGTAGAAATACTCCCAGGCGACCTCCCTTCCGTTCTGGTCCCTGACGGCCGCAGCCAAGGCGGGGATGACCGTGCGCTTCTTCTCTATTCTGCAAGGCAAGGTCAGGCGGTCACCGCTGCCAGCTGCCCACACGCTGGGCCGTTGGTGCAGCCTCAGGCGGCTGAACAGGGCCCGACTAGGCAGGCAGGGCTGAACGGGGACCGTGCCCCGGGGGCCTGGGGGCCCTACCTGCAGCCAGACCGGCCAGAGGTGTGAGTCTGGGCCCTGCCCCGTGGCCGGCGTGGGGCACAGCGGGGGTGACGGGGCCTCCGGGGCTCCACTGCGGGAGCCGCTGGCCACAGAGACCCCATGCAGGAGGACCCCCGCATCTGGCACCGGGGGAGAGTGAGACATGCAGGCGCAGGACACGGGGCAGAAGCGCCGGCGGCCCTGAAGCCCGGGGGAGCACTTCAGCTTACAGTAAGCGGCTTCCTAGTCCTGCTCCCTCTCCCAGAACAAAGCACCCCAGAGTCCATGAAAACACCACTGCCGCCACCACTTATGCCCATTGGGGCGAGGGATAGCCAGTGCCCTCCCAGCCCGAGTTTGCCGGGGGCAGGGGCTGGGCCGGGCCTGCAGAGCCGCCGCCCCAGTGAGGCCCGGAAACCCCGGCCCCAGCGGGACAGGCTGACAGCACCCTGGGGGGACCCAGCGCCAGGCGCAGCACTCACACGTGGTCCAGGTTCCAGGTGCTGAAGAGGACGCGGCTCTCACGGCTGCCGTAGGGGTTGATGGAGTGTCTGGACGCGCAGTGGTCCACGTCGAAGGCCCCCTGCGGCAAGTGTGCACACGGCCAACAGTGGCTGAGCGCTGGCACCGCGGGCCGCGGCCTCCCCCGACCAGGGCCCGGCTCTCGGCCACTCACCTGGCAGGAGAACCAGCCCTCGGGCGTGCAAAGCCGGTCGCCCGCCGCCGCGCTCCTGTCGAAGTAGCTGCCATTGTACTGCACGGACCGCAGCTTCTGGGCCATGGCGTCCACGGCCCGCAGGTAGGCCTCCTGCGCCTGCACGCCGCCCCCAGAGGCGTGCGAGCTCACCTGGGCGGCCAGGGCGCTGGCTGAAGGCTGCGCCCGAGCCCCGCCTCCCGGCCCACCGCTGGCCCTGTGTGCGGGGCCCTGGCGCAGCCCTTAAGGGTCCCCGGGCGGTCCTTCCCAGGGTGCCTGCTCCCTCTCCCCACTCCAGTCTCCCCGGGGCGCTGGCTCCCCCTTCCACGCTCCACCCCTCATCCCCGGGCGCCTGCCACCACAGGCCAAGGCCAGGACTTGCCCCTGGCCGGCGCCGGCAGCGGCAGCGGGACCTACCTCCCGCAGGTAGCTCCGGAGGCGGCTCTCACAGCTGTGCCTCAGGTAGCTGCACTTGCTCCTGAATCGGGCCTCCAGGCCTGCGGGGGAGGGGTGGTGGGCAGCAGGGCTGGGACCGGGAGGCGACCGAGGTGACCGCGGCTGACCGCGGCAGGCTGGCGGAAGGAGCCGACAAAGCGCAGCCACAGAGAAGGGGCCGCGCAGCCGCCATGCGGGCGGAAGCCGCAGACGCTGTGCGCGAGCCGGCCAGGCCCAGAGGACGCAGAGCCGGCGTGGCCACCAGGGGGCCGTCCCACCGTCCCACCAGCAGCTGTGGCTCCCGGGGCGTGGCGGGGCGCCCTCACGTTCTGGAGACAGCGAGTGAGCGGGGGCGGGGTGGAGACAGGGCTCGGTCTGGGCGCAGTGGGCAAGCGTGGGGCCCGGCGCAAAGCGCTCGGCTGACCAGCGAGCTCCCGTCCGCAACTGCCTGAAGGCCACGCGGGTCGCGTGGGCTTCGCTGGCCGCCGTGGACGAAAGGCCAGTCCTGGGCGGCCGACCTGGCCGAGCCCAGCGAGACCAGGCCAGCCACCTTCGGGGGGCCCCTCGGGGCTCTGAGACGGAGCAGGGAGGCGCCCTCCCGCCCCACCCGGCCGCGTCCCCCAGGCACCTTCAAACCAGGGCGGGTCCTGGGCGCGGGTCTCCGCGGCGATGTTCTCGCAGGCGCTCTGCAGCAGGTCGGCCAGCAGCTTCTGCCTCAGCGGGGCCTGCTCGCCGGACAGCAGCTGCCGGGCGGCCCGGACCAGCCCCGCGTGCGGCTGCTGGAAGGCGCCCAGGAAGCGGCGGATGTCGCTCACGTCTGCGCCAGGAGTGGGCCTTGAAGGCTCTGCCGGGGCGGAGGGACAGCCCCGGCGGCGCCCCTCCCGCCCAGCGCCCCTCCTGCCACTTACAGCCCTGCCAGGCCTGGCCCTCGGTGAGCAGCAGGAGCTCCGAGTGCTCGGGCGCGCGCCAGAAGCCGTCTGCCGTCAGCTCCGACCCGTCTTCGTAGAGGCACAGGCGCGAGCCTGGCACCGGGAGCTGCAGGCAGGGGCGGCGGCTGGGTGCCCGTCTGAGGACGCTGGGGGGAACCCGGGGCCTGGGGCCACTGGGGGTGCTAGGGCCGAAGGGGCGGTGGCTTCTATCGGGACCGTCGCGGCAAGATGCCCCGTGGTGGTCAGCTGCTCCGCGAACGAGACGCGGCCCCCGAACGAGAGCTCGGGGGC